ACAGTTTTGGTCTAATTTCAATATAACTTGGCACACAAGTAGACTACACTAAAAAATTACTAATACATTATCGTTTTTATCTGGATGAACATTGTTGCTGTGGTTACTAAAAAAAATTTTTTTTTTTTGAAAACCTCTCAAAATGCTACTCTACACAGTTTTAGTTGATTTTAATATAATGGGGCATTCACGTAGACTACATTGAGATACATAATTGTCTTAATTTTTTTTCTTATGCCCCCGGGATCAAAAATAAATATATTGTTTTTGTCCTATCTGTCTGTTTGTCTGTTGTCTGCAAACTTTAACCTTCGCTATAACTTTTGAACCATAAATGATAGAGACTTCATATTTGGCATGCCTACTCCACTAATGTAACTCTTTCAAATGACACAAGGTTAATGACCTTGTGACCTTGACTGTGACCTATATGCTAAAAATAGAGGGGTTTTTTGAAAACTTTAACCTTTGCCATAATTTTTGAACCATAAAAGATAGAGATATTTGGTATACATACAACACTTATTAAGCTTTTTTAAAAGACAGCATGGTCAATGACCTTGTGACCTTGACTGTGGCCTATACGCTTAATATAGCTTTTATGGCTCTAACCTTCACCATAACTTTTGAACGAAGAAAGATAGAGACTTAATATTTTGCATGCATACTCCACTAGTGAAGCCCTTTCACATGACACCAAGGTCAATGACCTTGTGATCTTGACTGTGTCTTATATGCTAAAAATAGCTTTTTTGAACCTTCACCATAACTTTTGAACCATGAAAGATAGAGACTTCATATTTGGTATCATACTTCACTAATCAAGATTTTTCAAATGACACCAAGATCAATGACCTTGTGACCTTCACTGTGACCTTTATGCTAAAAATATGTTTTTTAAATTTGTTGCCGCACATGTGTTTCACAAACACATCTTGTTTTAATTTATTTTGATGAATGATGTTGCCATGATACAGTACTTTATTTTAAAATTGCAAATTAAATTTATTAAATAAAAATCCCGATCATTAACTGTGTCCGAGAATTTTTTATATTTTATATTTTTCTCTAGACAAAGTCGGTATGTTGTCTGAAAAATATTTACATGAAATATTAAAACGGGTTGTTATGAAATAATCAAAGTGAAACAGATTCAGGTTGGGAAAAGAAATCCATAATCTTAATACATGTCTTAACACCTTTTTTCCTATAAACGTGTTATACGAGCATGCAATACTGAAATGTGGGTTAATGAGGATTTGAATTCTAACAGGACAGAGAACGAGTGGCGATCTCTCTGGCACACAGACTGTCATCGCGTCTGTCATTATGAACTGGATCAACATGTAGACTTGGCCTGTCGGATGGACATTTACAGAATCCGGAAACGCTTTGCAGACTGGGAGCGTGCAGCTAAACGGAAACACATTAACGGGGGTCAGTACTTCCTTTGTTTTATCTCAAAAATCTAAAAATCTTGTTTTTTTTAATCTTAGGAAATATGTAGATAATTAAATTTTTTTTAATAGAATTCTCTGAAGACAATGGCGTTTTTATAGAAAAGTGTCCCTCAATGAAGTTTTTATCTCCAGTAATGGACATGCGAAGTAAAAAGAATGTTTTGAACGAGTGTTGCTATTCCAAAGGATGTAGCTGGGAAGAATTCGCAGAATTTTGTCAGTTTTCTATAAGACTTCCCGCTACAGATGCTAACTCCTGTGCGTGATAAGTTGTCACTCTGTAGAACGATGTAACCAGTCACTCTGTAGAACGATGTAACCAGAAATGGAACAACAGGAAGCCTTTAATAATCTTCATCAAAACAACGTAGATAAATGTTACGAATTACATTGTAAAAATAAATTAAGTTAAAATGTTTTGCAATTTCAGTCAATTAAGATATTCTAAAAATAAATTAAGTTGAAATGTTTTGCACTATCAGTCAATTGAGATCAGATTTCTATACCCTTATGAGATCAAGGATTTCACTTGAACTGCAGGTTCCTGAACCATTTTAAGATTATTTAAGGAATGTTTTTAAGTTTTGTGTGAATTATTGGTGTGTAAATCACACGGATTTGTCACGTAGAAATATTTAGGAAAATATGCTTACGTGCAAGCCTTGTGTGATACATAGAAGATATCTATATTGTGTGATTTGATATTGGCTTTATCCAACGAGTTGAAATTGTGTATATTGGCGAGGCTTTCCGAGCGAATATACACCATTTCAAAGGAGTTTGATAAAGCCAATATCAAATCACACAGTTATTGTTCTATTTATCTCATACGACTTTTAACAAAACTTTGAGACTTCCCCGGCGAAACTACATGAATGATTGCAACTTCAAATTGATGACGTATAACTTGATGACGTAGCACCGTTGATGTTGACATGCCTCGAAAGAAAGAAGATCGATCGAGTTCAAAATTTATAATTTTTGCTATCTGTGTTTTTGAAAACCTTATGTGACAATTACCGGAGCTTTACACTAAACGAACTTCTGACTGAAAGTTGTAAGGACCATGGAATCGTGAAAATTAACTCTTTGTATGATGGCAGTACAAGACGTCATAGGCAAGCTAGGCTACTTGTAGATTCGTTGTTGATCAATGGAAAGTTACACCTACATTACTAGGTAGGCCTACGTAGTATAATATAAAAAAGCATTATTGAAGATATTAAAGGAATCTATAACAACAACTTAACTGCTAGGCTTTACTTTCTCCGAAAACGATTTAAGGGGGGGGGGGGTCACATCTGTCTTCCAGTACAGCCCATGCGCGGATCTAGAGGGGGGGTCGGGGGGTCAGGACCCCCCTGAAATATACCAGGGAAAAAAATGTATATACTAAAACAAGAAAAAAGTTACCATGGACCCCCCTGGAGGACGCCGACCCCCCCCCCCCTGGTAAACGCGAATATGTGTGAAATGGGTATGAAATGTGAAAGATTTGAGGCAATAGAAGTCACAACTACCCCCCCCCCCCCCCCCCCCCACGAAATAGGTTTTTTTTTTTATTTATTTTTTGCTTGTCAAGAAATTTCAGGGATTGGATGTTTTTTTGACTGGGGTGGACCCCCCCTGGAAAAAATTTCTGGATCCGCGCCTGCAGCCAATACATGTTCCTTGATAAAATAAGACACTTCTTTGACATATACGAGTCTTTTTCTTGCTTTTAAAGACATTATTGTTCTTTATCATTCATTTAATAAGGGCAAGATTTTTTACAAATCATGACCCCACGGGGTAGGGTGGGCCCAGTGGACGATCAAAGTTTTGCATTGCCTGACAAAAAATAAATCTATTGTTCCGTCATTGTTGTTTTATAGAGACGTTTGCGGTCAACGCTGTCATTCCATCTTTACACAATATCATTATGTTCTTCAGGCATAAAAAAGTAAAGTATGAAAAAAATTAATTGATTGTTGTGGTTGTTTATCGTGAAAACGGAAATTTAGGCAAAGTCCAACTAACTGAATGTTGACTTCACTTAGAACGGTATATGTCCAATGTGGTATTGCAAATAAAAAATGTGTTTGTGAAAACACTGATGCCCCCTTTTTGCATGAAAGGGAAGGTTAAATTTTCTCAAATGCAATTCAAGTATGTTGATACCAAAAGTAAGGGCTTATCACATAAAATACAAACGTAAATGAAATATTAAACCCTAGCACCACCTGTTTAAAAGTTATGACCAAGTTTAACATTTTTAAAAGGTAAGTCAAACACCGGGATCAATATATAAAAGCCCTAACCCTAAACCCTTCAAAAGTTATTGCCAAGGTTAAAGTTTTTAAAAAGTAGGTCAAACTACAAGGTCAAAGTCAAAGTTGTTGGAATAAAAAAAAAGGTCTTGTTGCAAGGATTATAAATATGTGATAGTATGAAAGCCCTAGCCCTTACCATTTAAAAGTTTTGGACAAGGTTAAGGTTTTTAAATGTACATGTAGGTTAATCTCCAAGGTCAAGGGTGTCAAGGTTGTTGGTTTCTGAAGAGAGGTCATGTCACAAAGAATACCTTCTGTATGTATACTTAAAATTGCGGGCTTATATTTTAGCGGTTTTGGCTCAGACGATGGTGCGCTAATTCATGAATACCACTAAGAATACATTTATAAATGAATATACGGCACGAACATGTGTAGCGCTTATTCATGATTACGCCAACAACTCCATATCCATTCATTGCGCTAAATTTTGAATACACCAAATTATGTACACATACCCCGGTACATGTAGAAAGTAAGAAAGTCCTAGACCTTACCATTCAAAAGGTTTGTCCAAGGTTAAAGTTTTTAAAGTAGGTAAACCTCCAGGGTTGTTGGTTTTAAAATAGGCCTTGTCATAAAGAATACATATGTGAAGTATGAAAGTTGTAGCACCAGCCGTTCAAAAGGTACGGACAAAGTAAGTTTGGAAATTTTGTCAAATTCAAAGGTCAAAAGGTCAAGAGGTCAAATTTGGTGGTGCCCAAAAAGAGCTTCTCCTATCACAAGGAATACACCTTTGAAATATAAAAGCCATAGTCCCACCCAGTCAAAAATTATGGGCAATGTTAAAGTTTTTCGGACAACAGACAGACGGAGAGGGCAAAAACCATATACCCCCGAACCTTCGTTTACGGGGGTATAAAAAAAAAACAACGATTACTCACCATTTTGCCTTTAATCCTTTGAGAAAATAGAATTTTTTGAAGTCAAAACTTGATTATTTCAAATACACTCAGTCAGGTGCAGTCCTACATGTATGAAGTCGAGTGCAAAACGAATAACTAATGTCTTAAAGACTCCTTTAAGCTCCTGACTTTCATTCATTAAAAGACAAAGCTATTACCGTCATGTACACATATTTTGAATATGCTGAAATTAATCTTATGAACTACTCACTATGGACCGTCACCTGACCTGTTGAAAACAGGCTAATATCTCTTTGAACCTGTGTTATATTGCACTTTTCATGATTAATTTGCACCTTTGATATTTTACTGTTGCTGTGCTCCTGTTTCGTATTGTTTTGAATGGACTTGACTCCATATACAATGTATTTTATAACAAGAAACAAAGGGAAAACAATATGTATTTGTAATACACTGATGCCACCGTATGGCAACAAAGCGAAGATTAAACTTTTCTTAAATGAAAATTAAATATCATGTTGGTACCCGAATTAAGGTCTTCTCACAGAAATATTCAGTTGTGAAATATGAAAGCCTTAGCACCACCTGTTCAAAAGTTATGGCAAGGATAAGTTTTTGAAAGGTAGGTCAAACTCAAGGTCAAAGGGTCAAAGTTGTTGATTTCTTTTTTAAAAAAGGGCTTGTCACAAGGATTATAATAATGTGAAGTATGAAAACCGTAGTCCTATTTGTTCAAAAGTTATGGCCAATGTTTTCTAAAAGTAGGTCAAACTCCAAGGTCAAAGGGTCAAAGTTCTTGGTATCCAATGAAAATGCTCTGTGACATGGATAAAATATGTGAAGTATGAAAGCCCAGCCCTAACTATTCAAATGTTATAATCAAGCTCTGTTTTTAAATATGTAGGCCAAACTCCAAGGTCAAGGTCAAAGATATCAAAAATCGTGTTATTACATTTTGCGTTATTACATTTCGCGTTGTAACACTGCGTACATGTAACTCAATTAGTTCCGCAACAGTGAAACGCATATCACGTTTAATTACGTTCCTAACTCTTTTGACAAGATTTTTAACTAAAACCTGTTTCTTTGCAGACCATCCATCGTCCGATTCAAACTCGCTACCACTCAAAAATTGTATTTTCCATATTTATACAAATACACGACTTATTATATCCCCGCTTGAAAAGCGGGAGGGTATATAGTAATCGTTATGTCCGTCCGTTTGTCTGTATATCCGTCCGTCTGTCTGTAACGCTTTGGGTTATCCTTCTCTTATCCGCAACTCCTCTTTGAGCACTGAATGAAAATTAATGAAACTTCCACAGAATCTTTATTACATATTGTCATTGTGCACCTCCTATTTTATTTTTCGATCAGACACTATTTTGGGTTTCCCACAACAAAAGATGGACACTCCTATTTAAAACAATGATATAAAACTTCGGCAAAATTCTTAACAAATCTTTAAAATTTTACGGTTATAACGAATTTGATATCGAATATGATATAGCGAACACCGTTGAGGTTAAATATAATGAATTTTACATCTTTTATACTTTTTTCAAAATTTTTGACTGCCTTTATTTTCTCTCAGCATTTGTATATAAAACACATATTTTGGGTTTCCCACAACAAAAGTAACATGGATGCATACTCCTATATATGGTTATATTCATATGGGATATAGCGCGTCCCCAGGAGTTCGCTATAACCGTGTTTTACTGTATATTCATATGGGAGGCGGGGAGTATCATTTAGTGAGCTCATTGATCACAGTAACTCTAGTTTTCATATATTTCCTGGTTTGTACAGAATTTTTTAAGTTTGCTAAAGAAGTTTCCCGATTGCAAAGCAAAATTTAAGTTATTCCAATTTTTTACGCTTATTTATTGATGAAATTTCAATAAAAATACTAAGACACGTGTATTTTTTGTCATTTGTGTTTTTTTTCTATATAAACTTTATTTTAATTAATACCTGCATAAAATGTTATGCGTATTAAGAAACATATAAGAAAAAAATATTTTGTTTTTTATCATTAAAATAAAAAAAAAATGTATTAAGTGCCCCTAATTTTGGTTAATTAACATATATATAGAAGTTTCGTTTGGTATCTCACATCAAGCTTGCAAGGCGAAATTTTGAAACCTTGTTAAAATCATTTCATTTAAAGGTAA